CAAGTTGCCCAGGCAGGTCTCGAACCCGCGGGCTCAGGCAATCCACTCACCTCAGCCTCCCAAAGTGTGGGATTATAGGCTGAGGCACCAAGTCCAGCTTCCTTTGGGTTTATTTGTGTTTGTTTGTTTTTGAGTTGGAGTCACTCCATCGCCCAGGCTGGAGTATAGTAGTGTGCTCACGGCCACTCTAGTGTCAACCTGCTGGGCTCCAGCAATCCTTCCACCTCAGCCTAACAAGTAACCGGAATGACAGGCGCAGGCTACCATGCCCAGCTAATTTTTTATTTATTGTAGAGATGAAGTCTCGCCAAGTTGCCCAGGGTTGGTCTCGAACCCACAGGCTCAGGCAATCCACTTGCTTTGGCCTCCCAAAGTGCTGGGATTACAGGCTGAGCCATCAAGTCTCACTTTGTGGTCCAGACTGGAATACAGTTGTGCGATCATAGCTCACTGCAGCCTCGAACTCCTGGGATCAAACCAACCTCCTGGCTCAGCCTCCCAAAGTAGCTAGGACTCTGCAACTCCAGGCATGAGCCACCATGCCGGCTGATTTTTTTTTTTTTTTTTGGTATTTGTAAGAGGCAAATATATGTATTTGATCTAGCAACACATTTGATTGTCCAAAAATATCTCAAGGAAAAATGTTTGATGACAAATAACAATGAGGAGGAGAATTATTTTTAAGAATTACACATTTTTGGCCAGGCTCAGTGGCTCAGCCTGTAATCCCAGCACTTTGGGAGGCCGAGGCGAGTGAATTGCCTGAGCCCGTAGGCTCAAGACCATCCTGGGTAACTTGGCGAGACCTTGTCTCTACAATAAAAGTCAAAAATTAGCCAGAGATGGTAGCGCACACCTGTAGTTCTGGCTACTTGGAAGGCTGAGGTGGAAGGATTGCCAGAGCCCAGCAGTTTGACCCTGGAGTGGCCGTGAGTATGCCACTGCACTCCAGCCTGGGCAATGGAGTGAGACTCCAACTCAAAAAAAAAAAAAAAAAAGACACATTTTTGAGATAACTAGGTGTGAATTCTAATTAGACACTTTAACAGAGAACTTAAAACAACCATAAGTCAAAATCTTAAATCAAAAACAACAAAAGGTGTTAAGTATTGTGACAATGTTCTTATTGTGGTTTGGGTTCATAAGTAACTAAATTGCCCAAATATGTCTAGTGCTTTGGGAGGCCAAGGCACTAGGTTTTCAGGTGTGAGCCACTGCGCCTGGCCCATTTTCCTTTGGTCAATGCAGCCCCTACCCTCTTCTTCTGCAGGCTACCAAGGCAGTTTCCACTCCATCCAGAATTGCTTCCCTTATGGCGACTGCTACCGGACAACCGAGCCAGTAGCTAGCGGGGATGGGCTGGCTGGGGAGGCCCACGGTTTCAACCCTCTGCGGCCCAATGGCTACCATAGCCTCGGTGCACCTTTGCCTGCCACAGGTAAGGCCTGCTGCATGCTCCCTTCCCAGCACCTCCCAAGACTCAGCCCTGTGCTGGGTATTCTGTGCATGTTGTCCCGCACCCCAGATGTTGTGAGGTCATCCTCAGTTTACAGAGCGGGAAACAGAGGCTCAGAGAGGTCCCAGGGCCCCACAGAACTGGGATATGCACCCTGCCTGACTGTGAAGTCTGCATTTCTTCCACGGCCTCACACAGCTTCTGTGTGTCTAGACTCTGATGGGATTCTTTTTTTGTGTGTGTGTGTTGGAGTCTCACTCTGTCGCCCAGACTAGAGTGCAGTGGCACGCTCCCGGCCACCGCAGCCTCGACCTGCTGGGCTCAGGTGATCCTTCTGCCTCAGCCTTCCAAGTAGCTGGAACCACAGGCGTGCACCACTACAACTGGCTAATTTATTGATTTATTGTAGAGATGAGATCTGCCAAGTTGCCCAGGCTGGTCTCAAACCTATAGACTCAGGCAATCCTCTTACCTCGACCTCCTAAAGTGCTAGAATTATAGGCGTGAGCCACCATGCCCAGCCTCTGATGGGATTCTGAAGAATCGGCCTGGGAGCTCATGGTCTAATTAAGGTTTCACTCTAAGTATTTATTGAGTACTTACTGTGTGCCAGGCACAGTTGCAGATCCTGAAGGAAGGAAACGAATGTTGATCTCCACTTGACAGACAGGGAATCGGGAAGGGCCAACGCCTGTAGACTGCACTGGCTCTGTAGAGCATTTGGACTTAGTGCTCTGGGCCGGGAGGGCTCCACACAGCCCGAGGTGGAGTCAGGCTTGGACCTGCAGGCCAGGCCTGGTGGGAGCAGGGCCATCAGATGGACAGGGCAGAACCTCTCTGAACTCCTGAGCCAAGCCCCACCCAGACAGCCTCTGCCTGGTCTAGGGAGGTTACAGGGACCCAGACAAAGGGGCGCTAGAGATCCCGCCCCAGAGGCCCCTTGGGCAACTCTGAGTGTGTGCAGCGGGGATGGAGAAACAAGGACAAGGGACCAGCACGAGGCCTCGGACGGGCATATGCAAGCCTGTGGGTCCACGCTGGCACACCTGCTCCCATGTCTGTGGGTAGGGTCGCTCGTGCGTCTGTGCATGGCTGCACACATCGGGCTGGCCCAGGTGATTCTGGGCAGGCGAGGCCCTGAGAGTGTGCAAGGGGACGCTCATGTGTGCACACATCATATGCTTGTGCTGATATCTGCGTGCACATTGTGTTACCCACTGGGGACTTCCATCTGTATCCACACACATGTGCATGTGTGTGATGTGGGCGTGTGTGTTTCAGATGGGCATGCTGGTGTGCACGTGTGTGCCTGTGTGTTTGAGTACAGCACTTGTCTGGGTCGCTGTGTGGCATGTGGCCCATGGGGGGGCTGGGTGTTGCTGTCTGTGCACACCTGGGTGGGGTCTGGTGCTGCTGGCTCTCCCCATCCTGCCCTCCCCACCCCATCCAGCCCAAGGAGGACTCCTCAGTTGATCAGCAAGGCCTAGAATAAACGGCTCCGGAGGGAGCCAGAGGCAGCAAGAGCGCATCCACGCCCCACCCCACACTGGGTAGAGAGGGTCCTTTGGCCTCCCCTCTTCCAGCGTCTGTCCCAGGCCCCCCGTAGCTGCTTTCTACCTACACCTCCTCTGTCAAGCTGCAGACAGGCACACAGGATTACAGCCAGACTGATAAGCGGGTGGGGCTGGAGGGCCTCGGAAAAGCTCAACCCAACTCCCTTGCATAGATGGGAAGACCAAGGGCCACCTGTCCTGGGCCACACAAATTCATGACCCTAAAGACAGGGTCTTTAGGGAAGGGGCTGGATAAGGGCCCGAGTCAAGGGCCTCTGAGCAATGACCCCATCCTGGACAGCATGTCCAATGGAAGAGCCAGTATCTCTGAAGCCAGACGGGCCTAGGTTCAATCCCGGCTCCCCTCCTCACTAGCAGTGTGACCTTAGGCAAGTGTCTTGCCCTCTCTGAGACTACTTCTCAGCTATAAAACGGGATAATCCCCCCTCATGGGGTTGTTGTGAAGCATAGGCAAGATGAGGCCTAAACGAGCATTTAGGAAGTGCCCAGTGAGCCTTGGTTCCCTTCTCTGGGCTTCCTGAGTCTAGCAGGGAGAGGAAACTGACAGGGTGGGGGTGGGCCCGTCGTCCTGCCTGGAGGGCAAGGGCAGTGCCTCCTCCCTCCCTCCCCCGCATCCTCCCCCAGCCCAGCCCTGGGTGATGAGCCGCCCCAAGTCAGCCTGTGCCTGTCTCCCCAGCCGCCCTGGGGCCCCCAGGTGTGCAAGGCTTGAGGTCCTCCCCCCCCCACCCCCAGTGACCGGCTCTCCATCTGGAAAGGCAGAGGGCTCAGAGCAGTGGGGACGCTGGGAGGAGGGTCAGCAGGGAAGCCTGGGAGCTGGGAAAAGTGACAAGGCACAGCCCCTGCGTCCTCCAGCCCTGACCCTCTCCTGCCCCACGCAGGCTACGAGGCCCTGGCCGAGGCCCCGTGCCCCACAGTGCTGCCGCCGCAGCCATCCGAAGACGTGGTGTCCAGCGGCCCTGAAGACTGCGGCTTCTTCCCCAATGGGGCCTTCGACCACTGTCTGGGGCACATTCCCTCCATCTACACAGACACCTGAAAGAGCCCCCTGCACCCGCCCACACCGCAGACGCCCACCTGCCCTCCGCGCCCACCCTCCGTGCGCCCAGCCCGAGCAGCCAGGCCGCGATCTGGGGGTGCCGGACTGCGGCCACCGCCCAGCACTGCCGGGGAGCGGCCGTCCCAGCCCAAGCCCGAGCCGGTGCGCAGAGGTGGCCGCTGGGACCGTGGCCCTGTGACGCTTCCCTGACTGTGTCGTCCCGTCTATCCCCCCCCCAGTGGTTTTGGAATCACAGACCTCGTGTATATAAAACATACAGAACTTGTTTTCCATTCCCCTGCCAGTTTTATATTTTTGGTTTTACAAGAAAAACATTAAAAACTGGAAACGAGACTTGAGGCCTGGTTCTGCTTTGTGATTAGACCTGGAGGCTGCAGCAGGGAGAGCCCCGGAGAAGCGTAACAAGGAGCCAGGTGTCGGGGCCTGGGAGTCCAGCTGGGGCCTTGGGTGCAGCTGTGGGTATGGGAACCGGCACTGTACAGCCACCACATGCTGTGGTCCTTACTGACACCAGGGCTAGTCCCATGACAGGGCTGTGAGGCAGGCTTCTCCCCACTGACGGGGGAGCCCACTGAGGCTGGGAGGGGTTAAGTGATACTTCAGGCCCCACCATCAAACAAATTGGGGCCCAGCTTTTCTGACCCAGACCTCTGCTTGCTGCACTGACTCCTTGGCTGGTGGAAAATCGGACTTCGATGCCTGGGCTTTGTGTAAATAGTGAATGCCATGGCAGAGCAGGCCAGCCTTCCAGGGACAGAGCCTGGGCAGCCTCAGGGGGCCCAAGCTAAGGACAGTCCCTGCAGGCCAGCAGGGCGGGATGCAGACAGCATCCTTTGTCCGGGGAGCTCCATGCCCACCGTGGGGGCTGAGGTTCTCTGCTGTTTCTCCAGCATCCAGCATGAGGGACAGGCCCTCCTGGGACAGGCGTCTCTCCAGGGACAGGTGACCTGGACAGTGCCTGCATCTTACCACATCGCCCTGAAACCCAGGTGAAAAGACCCAGGAAAAGTCCATGTCTACTGCCCTCCTCGTGCTCCCAGGGAGGGTCCTCCCCCCCCCACAGGTGAGGAGGGGCAGCCGGAACTGCCACCCAGGTCAAGGGGCTGCCGTGGTGTTCTACATGGCTGGCTTAGGCAAAGCGAGACGGAAAGTTCCAGTATCCCCTCCTTTATAAGGAGGGAGACCGAGGCTCAGAAGGGCCACACAGTGTGCCTCGCTCTCAGACCCTCCCAGGAGCCTGCTGAGGAGGTGTTGTATCCACCCCCCATCCTGCTCCCCACCCCCCTGCAGTCCAGGGGCCTGGGCCCGCAT